AAGGCGATTGTTTCAGCACTAAAAGCAAGCCATGCTAAAAACATAAACCTAATTGTATATGTTAGTTTTAGTATTGCCATTATAGATACATAACCTTAGAAAATGCCTAATTTGTAATTTAAATATCCATTACAGTTTGGTTTCTGTTACCTCATTCTCTATAGCTAAAAGAAAAAAATGATCACATCATTTCTTGTTGAAGCAAAGAAAAAAAGTTTAGAAAGTAACAAGAAAAAAATTTTTTTCTTAAAGGATCTTGAATTTCAGAAATAGGCTGATTTGACTACACATATATAGGAGTTGGAGATAATGTCTAAAATATATATCATAATGGTGCACAAATGACACATATTTATAGGAACTGTTGCAGACTTTTGTTACATTTTTGAAGATTTTAAAAATTCAGTGTAACGTCTTCATATAATCCATACTTTTTATCTTTGGCAGTTGACTTATACTAATGCATTCAGAGCACACTAGTGCAAGTATTGTGTCTTTTTACTGTGGTTGACTCACTAAAACCTGGTGTGTTTTCAAAATTAGTGTGATTCAAGTAAGAAGTAATTGGGGCAGTGTGTACAGATGGCACTTTTAAATGCACTCAGCCCTATTTATTTTTTTATTTATTTTTAATCTTTATTGTTGAATGTAGAATGTATTACAGATGTTCCTCATTTTTCCCCCATTGACCTCCTCCTCCCCACTCCCGCCCCCCGCTCCCGCCTTTTCCCACACTATTGTCTGTGTCCATTGGTTATGCATATAAGTTCTTTGGTTTATTTCTTCCCACCCCTCAACCCCTTTCCCTTTGAGGTTTGTCAGTCTAGCAGCCAATTTGTACATTTTAATCCCTTCACCTTTTTCACCCATTCCCCCAACCTCCCTCCCATCTGGCAACCAACAAAATGTTCTCTGTATCTATGAGAATGTTTCTGTTCTACCTGTTCATTTTGTTTATAGATTCCATTGTTGATAGATATGTATTCATTGCCATTTTGTTTGTTCATATATTTTATATTAATATTAGTACATTAACTAGATAAAAACAAGAGTAAACATTTGTTAAATATTCTCAGTGCCAGGTAAGTAGTTGAACATTTTGTATGGATGATATGATATTTATTTGTTAACGTTACTATATTTATTTTACAAATATAGAAATGAAGGATTAGAAATACTACTATTTAAGTTCACAGAACTAGTAAGTCATGTTTATGTTTCATTGACTTTGTCCTATCAAAGCTAGTTTTCCCCTTTTATAGACTCTTTTAATCCCTAAGTTACAATATCATAGCATATTCATACTATGAATATGAATCCATAATTTAAATAATAACCATACTTAAAATTTTACATTTTCTGCTGAATTCTACCTGTGCTAGATTGTACATATACTGTTGTAGGACACGTTTATAAAAACACCCTAAAATGGATCAAACATTTAATAACATAGAAATGTAATTTGAATGTTATATATTGTCCCAATGGGAGATTTTTATCAGTTTTGTCATAATAATAATAGTGCCTTAAAGTCCTTTCATGTCTACACCACATTTAACTTCCATCACTCCTTTAGACACATGGAGTAGATACTAATTTTCAATGAGGAAGATAAAGATAGAGAATAGTTAGTTCTACTTCTGGGCCATCCTTATCAGGATAAATTCTAATATTTCAAATATGTACTATAAATTATAGTAGATCACAGAACTTTAAAAATGTGTACAGCTAGGTGCCACAGTGCCACCCAAAAAAACGGCCTGAATGAAGAGACGTGTACTTTAACATAGTACTTGTAAACGTGAGTATATTTTATGAGAGGAATTGTCTGTTTTATATGCAATTACAAATCACTTCTGTTTCATCAAATTGTAAAGTGATTTTGAATATAAACTAATAGTGGGCAAATAGTGAAGAATGTTAAATTGTAGCATTAAATTCAGAAAGCAAGCCAAGCTGTGATATTGAACAACTATGCCTTCATGATTTAAAATGCTGCTTTCTTATGCAATATGGAACAATTCTTATTTCCTCTGAAACTTTAATTATATGTATTTGTTCCTTTTAGCTTTAGCATCCATATTTCATTCTGGTTTGAAATTAGGGATCATGTTTCGAAGATCGGAAGAAACTTGCACACCATGTTGGAGTTTTGATTTTTATATTGTATAATTACATAATGTCTCATATAAATAATTTAGATTTTTAAAAAATCTGCTTTAAAATTTCTCACAAGCTCTTTCTTAAGATTCCTTCGTTCATCTCTAAAATCAGCAATTAAAATCTGTTTCAACTATTTGGCAGGTGGGACACATATTGTGTTTTTCTCTCTCTGAATTGTGTTTAAATTGACTTTAAACACTTGACTGGCAGAAGAAATAAACATCTACATTCTTAGGGAAAACTGTTAAACTAAAAGATATGACAGTGTAATTCTCAATTAATTTTAGAGAATTTATGGCTTAAATGAATGTGAATTCTCATTTACGTACTTACTTTGAGCTTGGCTACTATTTTTGATTAATATGCACTTTGTACATTAATTGCTTCTTTCAATCTCCTGTCAGATTTATAGCAGGTAAGCTATCGTCTCTTAAACTCCACTCTGTTATTCATTTAAAGAAAGATAAAAGATCAGTCTAGAATATTAAGAGATAAACCACAATTGGCAGAAGATAACAACCACATACACATATAGTATTTGTGTATATAACTGTGTGTATGTATGTATGTATGTGCAATATATATAGATGAGGATATGTAAATAGATACCCAGAATATAAAGAACCATTACAACTCAATAAAATAGTTAGACAACCTAGTTTTTTTTTTTAATTTATCTTTTTGTCATCAGATAGAGTGGGAGGAAGGAGGGTGGGAAAGAGAGAGAGCGAGAAATATCAGAGCTACAGAGCCACATCTACAGGCTGTCTCTCACACCACCCAACCAGGCCGGGGACAAACAGCAACCAGGGCACGGGCACCCTACTGGGAATCGAACCCATGATTCACCAGTCTGCGGGCCAGCGCTCCAGCTGCCAAGCCAAACCGACCAGGGCAACAACCCAGTTTTTTAAAAAATGGGCAAAATATTTTAAAATATTTTTTTACTGAGGAAGACATATGAATGGTCAAAAAATGCATGAAAAAGTACTTAAAATCATTAGTTATCAGGGCATTGCAAATTAAAACTATTATAAAATACAACTAGATACCAGTAGAATGGTTAAAATTTTTAAAGACAATACTAAGCATTGGTGAGGAGGTAAAGCAACTTCAACTTTCATGCATTGCTAGTGGGAATATACATTGGTACCACCACTTTGAAAAACAATTTTGCAATTTTAACAAAAAGTTATACATATACTTAACATGTGACATTAATTCCACAATTAATCATTTGTCTAAGGGAAATGAAAATTACTGTCCCCACAAAGATTTGCACTAAAATATTTATAGTAATTTTGCTCATAATATCTAAAATTCAGCCCAAATACCTATTAATAAAAGAATAGATACACCAAATATAGTATATCTGGTACAATGAAGTACTGTTCAGTTATTAAAAGGAACAAATTGCTGAAATTTGCAACAACATAGGTAACATTATAGTGAGCCAAAGGTGCCAAACATTTTATGACTCCATGTATATGAAACTCTAGAAAAGACACCTCTAATATGGGCCCAGGGTATGAGGATGATTTACTGGAAAGGGAAATGGTATATTTTGGGTTGATGGAAATGTTCTGTATCTTCCTTGATGTGGTGTTTACAGGTTTATACATTTGTCAAACTTACTGACCTGTACATTTAAAATAGATGTATTTTATTGTGTGTGAATTCTACCTGAAAAAAGATGAAAATTTTAGTATTTACAAATTCTATTTTTGGTTGATTCCCAAAGGAAAATAGCTCAAATGATAAAATGAACATGCAAACATAATATCAAAATTAAGTCCTGATAGAAACTTTATAAAAACATCTATCTAAAAACAATTATTAACATCTAAGTATAAAAATTTGGACCTTCAGTGTATTTGTATAGAGAATGTGGAGTATTTAAAATTATAAAATACAGCAATTTATTATAATCGTAGGAAAGCATCAGTCCAGGATAGAAACAACTAAGAGTTACATCCAAAATAGTGATGTTAAATGATACATAGAAATTATATCATGGAGATATTTTATTTATAGTTTTAGAAAAATGGAACCATATATTAGTGGGAAAAGATGTTAAGTGAATAGTAATCTGTTGAGCAAACACATGGTATTAATGAGGGTGTACCATATTGACTGTAGCTTGCAGTATGTGACTTCCCTGGTTTTATCTTTACACCTTTTTTCTCACAGGAATTAATATCCACATATTCCCCTTTGCCCCTTTATTACTTTAAGCTATATCCCTCCTCATACTATCGTTCCCCAAAAGAAGGGAATTAATTTACCACCTCTCTTTATTTTAATTTTGCATTTTAAATCCAGAACTAAAAGAACTACATTTCTTTCCCCTTTTATTATCTCCAAAGTTACAATAATTTAGCAAAAACTACCTTTCTCTTTATGTATTTACCCACCTAAGGTATGCTGTACCTCAAAAAGTTTTCAGGCAGTTTTGTGTTATAAAGAGGACATTATTATGGAAATCTTAAGTTCAGTGGTACAGGAAACTAGGAGTTTGCTTCCATATATAGAGCATCAAAAAGGTGTAAAGTACTGTAATATATCTATTTTGTCTTCTCTCAAGGTAATTATTTTTATGTTCCTGTAATTCTTTCCTTTCTTTTCCTTTGGGCTGCCGCAAAAACCACTCAAATTGTTCAGCTAACCTCTGCGGCCACCCAGGCCTGCATTTAAAGTGTAGAGGTGATATTATTTTATTTTATTTTTGAAGCTTCATGTACCCTGGAGATATCCAGTTTGGTCACTTTTCTCAGTACTTTTTTTTTTTTTTTTACTGGACAGTCTAACTATATTCATGATCTTTAACCTTCCTACAGATTTGTTATCGGGCGAGAAAAACCAGGGCAAGTGAGTGAGGTTGCACAGTTGATAAGCCAGACGCTGGAGCAAGAAAGGCGCCAGAGGGAGATGCTGGAGCAGCACTACGCCCAGTATGATGCCGACGATGACGAGGTAGGACAGACGTTCTCCCCTGCTTTCTTCTGGCCAGTTCCTGCTCCGTAGGGCTCTCTGTACTGTGTGACAGTGTGACAGGTCCTTCGCAGTTCCCCAAGGAGAATGTGTTTATGTTCAACCTCACGGACAAGAAATATTACTTCCCTTTGTTATTCGCTTATGAATCAAATAATGATATCCTGTTTACAGTGTGAAGACTTTGGAATCAAAGAAGTCATCTTTTATTGCACTATTAAAAGAAATTCATTGGGGAAAAAATAAAAAGAGTAAAAACATCAAAATGTGAATAGTAGCTGTCTTTATGGTTTGAATTAGGTGACTTTTCTTTCTCTGCTTTATGTTTTTGCAATTTTGACCAAATTTTCTACAGGGATGTAATCCGTTTTCAAACAGAAAATCAGTAAACGTTTTGTGTGAAAAGGCACACACGTACAGACACAGAAGAGTAGTAGAAATCACTGAGCATTTTCAGGCTTTTCTTTTCTCCAGGAAGAGAAAGTTCTCTGGATCTGCTTGCTATGATTTGTGCTAACATAATGCAGAACAAAGCTTTTCCACCAGCACAAATTCCATAGAGTAGATACATATTGGAATAATTTTGCATCCTGCTCTCTGTAGAAGATCAAGTAAATGAATAGAAGCTAACCCCCAAGTGAAAACGGCTGTCCGGAACCCTTGTGTGTTGTAATATAATACAGATGCTGGTCTATTTCTAATGTAAATGCCAAACGTACATTGCTGTAATGGGACAACATGCTTTATTTTAAACATGCATGTGTTTCATATTGGCATGTCAAAAGATCCATCAACAATTTAGTTGTCGTATTTCATGCTCCATAAACTTAGTAAATATTCAGGTAAAATAAATATTCTTTATCCCAACTGAGACAAGGACAGTGCAACTTCATATGTTCAGCCTCTACTCATCTGAATGTATTCTTTGTCAAGAACTTGTTTTGGTTCCTAGCCAGGACATAGTGAAGATTAATAAACAGACATTCAAATATTTTTCGTGCATTTTAGTCTGGAATGTTTTAACCCAAATTTGTATTAATTTTTCATGTGCTTATAGTATAACGAGGATATACTCTCCATTTATTACAATAGGAAATTGAAAATGGTGCATTAGTTAACTTCTGATCAAAGAGTACACATTGAACGATGAGACTCTCAGAATCCTGTTGAGTTGATTTGCTTTTTTCATTTGCAGAATACGTTTGAAATAGCAGGTACTTTTTAATTATATTGCGAAAGTATATATAAAAATGTTCTCTTGGATTTAGAAAGTAAAAAAAATGATTTTCTCAGATATTGGAACTTTCATCCTACCTGGTTGGCCATAATCTGCACTAGTGTTTTATGTTTTAGCAGATACACTGATGTGCTTTGGCTACAACCTGTTTTAGGACTGTAGACTCAGTCTCTGCAGGTCTGGTATTTACCTGCTCACTCTGCTGAAGGAATTTGGATCTGAGGTTCAGGGGAGTATGGGTGACATCAAGTGGTGGAAGCTGAGGAGACCCAGCTTTCCTGCCTCTGGCTTTAAAGCAAAGGGATTGGGCTAAATCTCTGAATTCTTTCCAGCTTCTGATATTCCATGAGTCTCTGAAATAAAGCATCTTGTTTAACAAGGAAAGTGGGAAAATAAAATAGTTTTTTCAGGTTCTCCAAGTGAAATTTTTAGATTACATACCAACGTGCTTCTTCCATGGTCACGCTACTCTCCAGCCTGTTCTCCCTTCTCGCTGTTACCCAGCATCACCAAAGCCGCCCAGCCAAAGCCACTGCTAGATGCTGTGCGCAGGAGAGACGGACGCTAGACAAATGGTGAACACTGATTCTCGTGTAAACACTTTATTTTTAAATTGAGTTGAGTGTTATGTCTCTCTCTCTCTCTCTCGCTCGCTCTCTTTCTCTCTCTCTCTCTCTCTCTCTCTATATATATATATATATTATTCTCTTTGTCTTTTAAATAAAAAGTAAAATGTCCAAGAAATGTAATGGAAATGAAATGAACCAATACTGGTTAACTGGTTATCTGATGGGTAAATTGACCCTTGAATAGTTTAGTTAACTTTATATGTAATTGAGCAATTCATTGATTTACGTATCTTTGTTAATCCTGGATTATGTAACTAATCACTTTGTTTCTCACGCTTCTTATTTATAGAATCATGTGTGATTTCAAAGATAGAATCATTTTTATTTGACAGTATCCCCTGTGACTTTCTCTGGGCCAGCCAGGAAAACCTCCAAATGCAGAACAACCAAGTTCATCCAAGTAATTTCCAGAGCCAGCACTTAGATCATCACTGTCTACTGAAGGATAGATAGCTTCTGGTTTTGGTCAAATCATCCAGAGTTCATTCTAACTTGGAACTGGTCACATTGACAGAGGGGAATTGCTTGCTTGAATTGCCTACAGGGAAAACATTGCAATATGATAAACATATCCAGAAATTATAAAAGTACCATGGTCCCCTATTGGAACCATATTTAGGATTAAGAATACTTTATCATGTATAGTTTGTGCTTAGACATATCTGTTTTAATACTTTAGGAAAGTATGAATCATACTCCAAAAGAATTAAAAATGTATAGATAATATCCAAACTCTACTTAAATTTCTGCATTCTTCTAGGCTTTTTTTCTTCAAGTATTTAAACTAGAAGAGTTTATAATAAGCCAACAGCCAATTCAATTTTAATTTGCATTCCTATATCTTTTTATGCTCAATGTTAAACATTCTGATTTTTAAAAAGCAAAGTTAAAATGGCTCTACCTAAAGGCTGAAGAATAAAAGGGATCCTGTAAAGAAACGGGAGGTATAAGTGAAAAATTGAAAAAATTTAAAGTAGATCTGTGATTAGTGATTGCATTTCTGGATTTCACAGAATCTTCCCTCACTCTCTGCCTCCCTCCCCTCGTTATTCCTTTTCTTTCCTTTCCCCGTCCCTTCCCCTTTCCTTCTTTTTCAGTCTGCAAGGTAATCATGGAGGATTTCAGTGAACCCTTAAATAGTCAACTCTATCCCACAAAATCCTGGGGGTGGTATGAGTGGTTGGATGATACAGTTCTGGTATGTGTTGTGTACTGTGGGTCTTGTATGCATATTTTGGATCCCTCTTTCTATCAGAGAGCATTTCGCAATGTGCAACACTGTGGGCTCAGACTGGAACTGAGGTGCAAACTGGTACCGGACCACTTTTTTGAATTAGAAAGTAAAGTACATATGGTCGTTCACATTAAAATTTGCTATTTTATATACACATTTAAAGTTATATGATTATTTTGCTTTTGCCTGTTTGTATATCCTTTGAAAATATATTATTTATTATATTTTAAAAGTCTTAGATTATAGATGGCATTTCCTAGTCTCTTTAGGCAGCAGTTCATAATAATGGTAAATTGTCACTCCAGTAATGGAGGCCCCCTTTTTAAATGTAATTTAATCTTTCTATAATTTATTTCCACTATTGGAAATTAATATCATTATAACTATATTATAACAATATTAGTTAATTTTTTTAGAATCTTTTAAAGTATTGAATACAGTGTAGAGCAGTACATACATGGATATGCATTTTCATTGCTTGTGTTAACGTGTAATAATTTTAGGAAAAATATAATGGAAGCCATGGTTTGCACAAGTATTAAAAGGTTTACAAGAATGGAATTTTTATGTGAAAATCATGTAAGGGATAGCATTATACTCGACTCATGCTGTTTGCTGTTCCTGGTTGAAAACAGCCTGTGCTGCGTGAACCAGAGATCGCAGTTATTACGGACGGCCTTTCAACACTGTGAATTCACTTTATCCTGTGCTTATAATGTTCAGAAACTAAGAGCAAGGGCATTCTCAGTCCTCGAGAGTGTATGCTGTAGCAGGCACTGAAATTGCAGTGTGTTGTTTTTTTCTTTCTTATCCTTGATCATTAGCCTGCTCTCTCTAGTGGGGAAAATCCTTCTTTAATTTTTGTTGTCAACCATTTTAGAACACGGTGGCTGACTTGCAAGGAGTGTCTGGCAACTGCAATAACAATAACAACTATTTCCTTCAGGTTTGTTTTCTGGTGGGAAATAATGCTTATCTTTACCTTCCTGCTTCGTGTGTGAAATGCAATATTCTGTGTCTTATTAACTAGCTGTATGCTCACAAGAAACTTCTCTAGAGCTGTGTGTTTTGAATGTTGAATGATAATTTGAAGATTACTCTTTGAAAAATAACATTTAATTTGGAAACATTATTCTAAATATTTTAGGTTCAGGTTCTACAATTTGGACTTGCTTCCTAATATTTAACCATGGATGTTTTTAACCCTTAACACTTTCAATATTTTGTAGTTCATATTAAAGGGAAACAAAAGATATCCACAGCAGGGCTGCATGACGTTGGTACGATACAGTATACACAGTGATTTATGTGGTCTTTAAATCCAGTGATTTTTAAAAGATTTATCTTTATTGTTGAAAGTATTGTAGATGTCCCCCCTTTTTTCTCCCATTGACCCCATCCTCCTTGTTCTCCAACCCTGCCCCCAACGCCCCTAACCCCTCCAACCCCCCCTTCGCCTTCTCCACCCCCCCTTCGCCTTCTCCACACTACTTTTTGTGTCCATTGGTTATGTATGTCTGCATATAAGTTCTGTGGTTTATCTCTTCCTGTCTCCCCACCCTCCCCTCTGAATTTTTAAAGAAAATAATCTTTTGATACAAAGTTATTAATGAAAAAAAAAACTGAACGCGTATGTCTTTAAGTCGTCATAGTACTTATGTGCATAATTTATATGGTGGGCATGCCAAATGTCTAAAAGGTATGATACTATAAATAAAACAATTCTCATTATCTTTAGCTGCCAGTGATAGACATAGAGGAGCTTAAGGATGGAAGTCAGGTATGTTTGAAAGGGAGACTGACTTATGGTATTAGAGGAGCCTGAAGAACAGGAGAAATATAAAGCCTTTTAAACAAGTTGTTCAGCCCTGGCCAGTTTGGCTCAGCGTTTAGAGCATCTGCCTGCAGTCCAGAGACACCCAGGTTCGGTTCCCGCTAAGGGCATGTACCTCGGTTGCAGTTTGTCCCCTGCCCCGGTTGGGGTCATGTGAGTGACAACTACTCGATGTGTCCCAAAATGGAAAAATGTCCACGGGTGAGGATAAAAAAAACAAAACAAAAACAAGTTATTCACAGATTCCAATTTGACTGGATCTTCAAAATCATTAAATTTAATTATATTCTTTGGTTTATGGTTTCCAAATCCACTGTAGTTGTCATTTTCATTGAAATCCAGAATCAGTCCTGGCTAGTTTGGCTCTGCTGTTGGAGTGGTTGGAGTGTTGGCCCTAAAACCGAGTTTGATTCCAGTCATGTATGTACCTCGGTTGCAGATTTGATCCCTGACCCCGACCCTGACCAGAGTCATGCCGAAGGCAACCAATCTATGTGTCTCTCTTACATCAATTTTTCTCTCTCTCTTGTTCCCTCCCTTCCACTCCGCCTAAAAATATCCTCCAGTGAGTATTAATAAGAAGGAAAGAAAAAGAAAGAAAGAGGGAGAGAGAGAGAGAGAGAGAGAGAGTGGGAGGGAGGGAGGAAGGAAGGAAGCAAAAGAAAGAAAGCAAAAGAAAGAAAGAAAGAAAAAGGAAGGAAGGAAGGAGGGAAGAAAGGAAGCGAGGGAGGGAGGGAGGGAGGGAGAGAGGGAAAGAATCATAAGATACTTGGAAGATACTCAGTTGAAGACTCTATTCATGCTTGATTTAACCTAATTATACTGGCATATGCAAACACCACACACACACACACACACACACACACACACACACACACACACACACACACAATCCCCAGGAGGTGAATACCCTTCTCTACTTGAAAGGTCCTTTTTAGAAATATCCTTTGTATATAGAAACATTGTTATGTAACACTGAGCACAGACAGGAAGTTGAGCAGTATCAATAGGAGATAGAGGTTAGACTAGAAATCTTTGCCTAAATAATGTCATCTTCTAGAAAGAAAGAAAGAAATGTCATACTCCTTTTCTTATTTTATTTTATGAAAATGCAAGTGACTTGAATGTGATTTCTTGATATTTTCTTTCAAATGCCACATGGTGGAGATATTCATTCAAGAGCTAGATACAAAATACCAAAACAATTTATCAAAATCTTCTATGCCATTAAATTCTTCTGAGAGTATACATACTTCGTGCTCCCTAGAAATCATGCTAGAACAAGTCTGTACTATAATGATGAACCACAGAGTTTGCAGTGTTAAACAGATGCCAAAGAAACAAATACAAATGACAACAGTATATTTTTCAACTTTAAAAACATAAGTTGAGTATAATTTTTTACCAAAAAGTTAAACGCTAAAATCACAGCGAGAGAGGGGCTGACAGACTAACTTTCCAGTGGGCCATGGGGAACCTGTGGCTTCCCAGCCTTTGCTCCTCCTGTTTTGTCCACCTTGAATGCCATAACCTGCGCCAGTTCTTGGTTGCTCCTGTGTACCCACTAAGTCTGCTCACCATTCAGGGCTCTGCTTAGGATTCATCTGTCTCCTCCACAAACCTTCTTAGACTCTCTCAGCTGGGCTTGACGGCTCTTTTCATGAGTCACTAGCACTGTGTGTATCTCCCTATATATTTACCCATGAATTCACCTCCCTAGCTTGTAAACTCACCAGTGACTGGTTTCAAATAGCTGGTTGGTTTTAATATATCCAGGGATGAGCACAGCATTGGGAAGATGAGAGGAAGCCAAGAAACTGAACTGAGTTGAATCACCGAAGGGATGCTGAGATGAAAACTGGAGAGTGGAGTAGAATCAGTTAGAAGATCATCCGAGAGAGGGCTAGAAGACTGGCATAGCATACAGGGTGCAGGGCATTTCCCCCAGTGAGACTGGAGAGTGGAGGTAGGGAAAGGACTGCGGGATTATCTGGGCTGGTCCTTGGCACTTTGGGATTGAGCATTTTTCCATGTTTTTTGCTTCCACGTTTTAATTGTTCTGAGAGATCATGAATGTTCAAGAAGACTCTAGCTCGATCACACTGCACCAAAATCATCTGCATATAAACCAGAAAAAAATGAACGTACACATTTCATTCCTTGAAAACCTTTGGACCGTAGAAATAGCAATTTGGTGACTCACACTGACATGACTTCTTTTTAGTCATAACGGAATAAACGTGCAATAGAAATAATAGTCAACGGCCCGAGTGGTGTCAAGAACAGTACTGCACAGAGAGTCATGTTTTCCTCCCCAGCGCACTAACATAGAAATAGACCTCAATCCTAGAAATACCTTACCATCAGCAATAAAAACTAAATGTGACCTGTCCAAGGACCAGTGTCCTGAAACCTGCATCTCATGGGGGTTTAGCGGGTCTTGATAAGGGCCCCATTTATTTCGAACGGACATTGATGCTAGGAAGGGTGGTGGTAAAAACTCTTGCTTGCTTTCTGAAATTCCAGTTATTAAAGGGGTTTTTACACTTATTTTATTGATACAAAGTAAAATGTGCAGATTGTAATTATATAATTTGATAATTTTTATCATTTTTTCTTTATTTTAATATTAAAACCAACATTAATGAGGAATTCTTTATATACAGTAAAATACACCAATTTAAAATGCATTTAGGTTAACAGTTTGATGAATAACCACCACTACAATTAAGGTAGGAACAGTTTTATCACCTGAAATAGTTCCCTTATAGAATTTTTCAGTCACTGTCCGTCCCAAGCAACCATTCAGTCTGCTTTCTGAGACCACAGATTAGTTTTCTCAATTCTGCAATTTCGTTTGAATGACACAGAGTACCTACTTTTTATGTCTGGCTCCTTTCACTTTTCGTAGTGTCATGTTTATCCTGAATATTCTCTGTATTATGATGATACCGTGGTCGGTATTGCTTTGAGTTACAGTGGACAATGCTCAGGGCTCACCTAAAATGGGGGATCAGTTGGAGAGTTTCAGCATGAAGCTAGAGCCCCCGGGATCCACTGCTCTGTAAATGACAGTAAATCTAATCTTCCACCTCAGGGACTGCACGGGAATTTGCCATTGTCAAACCTTGGTGCTGAGTGGAAGGGAAGAAAAAATTTCTTCTCAGAAATTGTGATCCCAGCAGCCTGAATTTATGCTACCTTTCAGGAGAGAGAAAAAGTCCTATCCTTTCTTAAGGCATTCACCTTAAGTTAAAACCTAAAAGCTAGAATTTCCAGAAATAAAAGCTTACAATTCCAAAGTACAAAACTCAACAGGAAATACATCATCGTAAGTAACAATCAGCAGAAGAAAGAGAGGGAGAGGGAGGAGAGGAAAAGGGAAGGTGAGAAAGAATAAGGCCCAAGTTACTGTATCACTAATACCAAACTGAAACAAATACCTCCAGTCACATGTAACTGATTCCAGAAGACGAAAAAAGAGTCGTGCAAGTCTGATACCAGTGAGTTATTGAGAGTGTGAAATATAGTAGGTAATGAGGTATAACCTTGTTACCAAAATCAAAGAAATGACAAAAGAGATGTATAGTCCCATTCTATTCATAAAAATAATGCAAAAAATTTCTCAACGAAATATGAGCAAGTCATATCTGATAACATAAAAAAGATATTATGGCTAAGCTGAGTTTAGCCAATAATGTATGGTTTAACATTAGAAAATGTCCCTATTTGCATTTCACATTTTGGAAGGCAAAAAGAAGAAATATAAGAAATAGACTGGAGCCCTGGCTGGTTTGGCTCAGCAGTTGGAGCCTCAGCCCATGGACCAAAGAGTCGTGGGTTTGCTGTCGGTCAAGGGTATGTACCTCGGTTGTGGTTCAGCCCCTGGCCTTGGTCGGGGTCCTGTGGGAGGCAATCAGTCTATGTGTCTCTCTCACATTGGTGTTTCTCTCTCTCCCTCCCTCTCTCCCTCCCACTCTATTTGAAAATAAATCAGAAAATATCCTTAGATGAGGATTTAAAAAAAGAGAGAGAGAGAGATAGACTGGAAAGGAATGAGACTATTGTTATGCACTAGTGATGTGATTGTCTATTTAGAAAACCTCGGACAT